GGACTCAGCTGTCTGGCTGATCTGTAACATCATTACTGACTCCAGCATGCTGGGCCTTGCAACCTGGGCAGTGGGGTCCAGCGTCCCACTACAGAAGCACAAAACAGCACAATTCAGTAATGCATTAACAGAAATGCAGAACATAGCATTTACATGGCATGATCTCAGACACAATGTGTCAAGTTTTCTGATATATAAAATATCTAACATGTCTGCTGAAATGAGTGTGTTTTTTCCACTGTGATGGCAATACATTTAAAGAAAATTCATAAAACACCATGAATATTGCAATTAATAAAAATAGGAATAATAATAATTATTTCACTAATTATGAAGATATTTATTAGAAGTCATTTAAGAAAATCAAGGCATGGGGAAGGACAGCGTTAGCAAGAGAAAACATAGCACGTTTGAAATTATAGAAAAAAAGTCAGCAAAAATTGGTGATTCTCTGGTTCCTCTGTAGCATATTGGAGATTGTCCCTTGGCTTGCACAGGATCAGAAATTCATCCAGTGAAACTAAGAAAAACTTGAGAAATGCATAAAACATCCACACCACTGCATGAGAGCTTTGGAATTTTAGAGGACAGGTTTATCCTCCTTCAAACTGTTCTGGTTTTATGCCCTGAGGGACAGATGGGTTATAGCGATCTAAGACGGCATTTGCAATATCAAAGTGATTTATTCCATTAAGAAACATTAAGAAGTACATCAGTAAAAAAATTCATAGCCTTTGAGTTACAGCTGTAACTAAATAAAATACTAAATAAAATCCACAGAAATGGGATAAAACCTAGTCTGAAATTAACTATCTATCTTCTGTTTACTGAACATGAAAGAGGCACACGTTTATTAGGAGGTTCACACAAAGTGTAACCACTGTTCTTGTGCTTTCATTATAACACTTTCTTATTATGTCCCTTTAGAAATGGAAACACATTTTTAAATGTCTTTTTTGACAAGGGCTCTTTTATGTGAGCAGCCTCTCATTATTTGCGAAGTTAACATCAGCAAACTTGAGTTGTATTTTACCAGCACCTTTATTGATTGCTGCGATTAGGCTTGGCAGTGTGATACCTTGTTGTCTCATCCCCTATCGGCCAAAATTAAAAAGATCTCTGGTGGCAATTGCCTTCTGGAACTTGTTTAATCTCTCTGTTCTCTGCCTCTCATCTGCTAAAGTATTTTCTTCAGTAGAAGACTGATCTGCCAGCTAGCAACACAATCACTGTATAAATGAATATTTGATGCCAAGCATTAATTTGGGAGGTCATTAGTAGAAACTGCAAACAGTAGTGAAATCAAGTAACTGGATGTCCTGAGAAATTATGAATAGTATTAGACAGAAATAGACCAGTTAAGATGCAATTCTTTCCATGTATGTGATAATTTATCAAGGGTTACACTTGGAGATTATATTTTCATCAAAAGCATTGGACATGTTTTTAACATACGTCACTACAATATACCTATTTCTAGGGGAAACCAAACAAACAAAAGAAAAAAAAATCAGTATTTTCACTTTTCATATTTCTCTCTTTTGTACACTTTGCAATACAGTGTGAAATTACCCCTATACAGTTTTGCTGATGGCTAATCACATCTTCTGTTTGAGCAGCAACATCAATTCATTAGGAAAAAAAAAATTAATAATTTATACTTTTATTAGGATAGACCCTAAAAAAATCTTCATCAAGGTTTGGTCCCCTCTGTTTTAATCACTGTATTCTCACTCATACAGAGGTAAAAAAAGTATGTACACGATCTTCCCCAAATTCTGAATAAGTTCATTTATAAGTAATGGAAACTGATTGCATTTTATCATAGCATAGCATTTTATCTCTATTTTATTCTTCATTATAATAAGGCCTTTGTAACAAATTGTAAACATTTCCATAATCCCATGCATTTATGCTCAGGCTCAGCTTTGTTATATCTGATCTGGTGAACTGCTGGGTAAGTGCTTTATTATCAGACCATGATTTGCATGTTTTCTGTATTCATGGTGCATGGCCATAAGTAAAAGGTAACCTATGTGCCTGATGCTTTTAAACTCTCAGCCTGGAGTTAAACTGATGCAGGTTAAGTAACTTTATAGGCCTCTAAATTATAAACAAATACAGAGTAAGAACTGGCACTAATCTAGCAAGAAAGCAGAATAAGGAGGCAAAGAAATTTAGCAGGAGGACTTTCCCCTAAAAGACTGAATTTTGACAGCTGTTGTCTATTTTATTGCTCTTCTACTGCACTTAGGTAAAGTAAAAGCACTAAATAATATGTGGGTTAATATGAGTCAGAATCATACAATTAAGCAACAGGGAACTTTGAGATAGGCAATTTAAGACTGATGAGCAGGGTGTGAGCAAGTGCTGACTGTGCACCCTGACCTGGAATACAGAATAGGTTAATTTCTGCAGCAGTCCAGCTGGGTTGCAATTAACTAGTCCAAAGACATGAGCAAAACCATCTTACTGATGATCCAGATGAATTCCAGCAGAATTTACTAGATCAGGCACAGTACGATTCTATGATTCTATGTGGCACACAGATGACCACTTAACGTGCTGCAACTCCTTGGGATCCCCCTTTCTAAGAGAATACATGAGTTCAACTCCAGAGCAGACCAAAACTGGTTTTGCACCCTGCCAGTAAACCTGCTGGAACCAAATGCATTCAGAATGCAATACAGAACTCCTTTATAATGCCTTGTCAGAACTGATGAATCCTGATAAACTGGCTTTTAGGCGTACCTGGAGTGCAAGCATTACATCCAACAATCCATCTAAGTTTTTGCATACTCTGGGATATTATATACTTCTGTTACTTCAGCTAATGAAAGCTGACTGCTAGCCATACCTATCTGGAGGTAAAAATATTACCCCTAAGCATGCAGTTAGGCTATGTACTTTCTGCATCACTGATTAGCTATGTTCTTCATAGTTCTAATCAATAAACTAATTTGATCTGTGATGAAACTCATCTGTGTTAAACTGACCTTTTTATATTGAAATTGCATATTAACAACAGAAAACATATTTGTTAATGAAGAGGCAGAAAGCAAGAGGAAATAGATCTTTGCTCCAAGAGCTCTTGTCCAGGAATTAAGATAGTATTTGAAGAAAGAACATTAAGATTATTCCCTATCTCAATACACTCAGGCATACTGAGCTTAGGCAAAGCTTCCAAATAAAGAGCAAAAACGGTGAGATTACAAAACCTGATATTCCCTACAGTGCTTCATGAACCAAAGGCACAGTGTACTGGGAGTGTGATCACTGCATAGCACAGCATACTTCCCACGTGTGAAGGATAACTTTGAGGACAACTCCCTACACTGCAGAGCAACCTTTATGACAAGTGCACTTTGCAAAATTGGCTGAAAAAGTAAAATTTATCTTATGAATGACAGAAGTCAAAATGACTGTTTTAAACACCAGCAAAACACTCTGTTTCTGTTCTGCCATTTTTCAGCCCCATCCTTTCTCTAGGCACATTCCAACAGCTGAAACCAAAGATAGCAGCTATGTATCTAACCTCACAGAAAAAAAAACCCTCAAGCCCCACAAATAAAATCTTCCTCTACATACCAAAGCTAAATTTTACTGTTCTTCTCCTCTAGGAAAAAAACTCATCTCAAGGTGGCAGGGCTCTTGAGTGTATCCCTTACCTTTAGGGGTTTGGCTGCCCAGGCTGAGGACCAGCTTAGAGACAGTGCCACTGATGACCATGAAGAGAGCTCTTCCAGTCAGGCTGTGGGGATGCCTCCAACCTACCAGCTGGAATGCCAGCCTCACCTTAGCCCATCTGTACCCCTGTAGTCCTGCACCGCCATCCTGGGGCTGTGGCTGACTTTAGTTATTGTCTCTGGACCTCCTCCTCCTGCCTTTAATTCTTATTCTGGAAGGACTGTTATTGCAAGTACAACGGAATTACCTCATTTGAACGAATGAACAGAACCAAGGTTTGTAAAAGTGGGGAAAAAAAAAAAACAGAGGGTGAATATTAAAGGATTAAGGCAATTGTCTCAAGTGAGGGGACATATATAGAGTCAAAGCTGCTTTCCTAGTACAGGGGCAAGCGAAGGGTGAGCACCCTCACCAATTCAGTGCTATGAGAGGGACATCTGCCTGGGACACCAAAACTGGCAGTCACCTGCTAAGCTTGGAAGACTTACAAGTCTACATTAAAAATATATTTTAAAAGGCAGCATTGAAGTTGGTTGAGTGATTCAGGTTTTAAGCAATTAAGTGACTGGACTTTTTTCCATCAAGAAGATGAGATTTCATTGTGCACTGGCCATTGGATAAACAAGGAAAATCTGTTTCACATATCTTAAAAGCATAAGTGGAAAGAGCATTTCTAGTGTATGAGCCAAAGTTCCCATCACGCATTTTAACTTAACCATGATAGTATCACAAAAAATGGCACCTTCCTGGAACTATGCAGTTGTCTAGAGGATTGTTTGAAATAAAGCAAAATCTTGAAATGATCACATTATTGTAGATTAATGTGTGATGAGTTAGTCATTTATTAGGAATAAAAATTTATACAGGCAATGCAAATGCACCAGCAGATAATGAGTTCAGGGAGTATTGATTGTTTGCTCCTAAGAGGAACCAGTGCTGGTCTTAACAGCTCTGTATATTCACTGCTCTCTTGCAGTGTAAGGTAAGGCTGAAAACACACAGGAAACCTAGCCACAGAACTGGCAAGGGGTAAGAAAGAAGGGGCTGTATCTTCAGTAAGGCTGGGAAAAAACAGCTGTGAGCTATTTTCAGTATTTTGAAGTGAAACCCCTTGTATTTTCATTCACTGGTATTTCTGAACTGTTGTGAACTGTGGAGGCCATTATGATGCACCTTAATGTTCCCTGAAGCACAGCTTCAGCACACCTGACAAGAATTTACTATTCTCTAGATATCCGCAAGAGGCAAATACCATGATGTCCATTCTGTAAGATGATATTTCAGTTGATATTTAGCTCATCTAAGTCCATTACCTAAGGAGCTTCTGTTTCAGTAGGTGAATTCAATTTCTCTCAAAGTATGAATCTCTGCTTCAATCAATAGGATCATTATATTTGCATCATTCTTCATTGTTAGGTCATGCTGCTTGTAGTTGATAAAAGGTGAAATAACTGGTAGCAGCCAAACCTAAGTAAATAAATACAGAACAAATTTGAACTGGCAGTCACATGTACATTTAATTGACATGTATTGATTTACAATTGCTAGTAGGCTTTAAAATGTTGTCCAAAGCTATAACCAGACTACAAAGAAACGTGTTATCTTTACATGTGTAACACAGTTTACTGAAGCTTTTTGTTACCCAAAAGCAAACAAAAATCACATTTAAACAACTTACAGTGAGATAGTTAAAGAATATATTGTTTCTTAAGCCTTAAAAGCTCGCAGAAACAAAGAATAAAAGACAGATAAATTTTCCATGTAAGTTCAGTCTGAGGTATTAGTAACAAGAAGCCACCAAAGCACTAAGCTGGAAGAAGATCACAAGTGCTAACTGATGCCACCAAAGGGATACTCAGACACAGCACTTCTTGAGGATTCTCCATCTGCTAAGGTTGACCTAACCCCAGGGCAGCAGTATTCTGCTATTCCTTAGCCTGCACTTCTACAGGGCAGGCGGCAGAGTTAGTGAATGCAAAGGGGAAGGATCATATTGTAAAAATACAAGTCTGTTGACTCTTTATTATTAAAAGTTTATATACAAGCCTGAAAGACAGAAAAAGCTGACTCAGCCTTTCATCCTTACATTAATATACCCAAATCTAAAAAACAGACTTCAGATTGCAATCTGAATCTCCCCATGCTTGCTTAGCATCTCTTCAAATCTTTAAGGCAAAGTTAAACTATGAATTTAAGAGGTGCCTAGAATATCAGCCAGATCCAAAAGAAGATTTAGGCTTCATAATGCACTTCATGTTCACATCTATGAAGACCCTTGAGCAGCACACCAGTCACTGCAGTTCTACGTGAACTCCAAGCTACCCTTCTCAGGAGCAGCATCTGCCCTTCCTTGTAAGCCAGAGTGAAACCTAGAAAGAGAACAAAATAACTTAAACTTGAACCTAACAACAGATGTGTGCACAGCACAGCTTGCACCCAGCTGCAAAGCTGAACCTTTCATAAAATACTGTAGCAGTTGCTTTAAAACATGGCTGTAAAACAGTATTATTCACACAGCACAATTGATACCATTCCAATGGGATCATAAAATGTATCCTGACCTATACTCTAGAGAGCGAAACAATACTGCTTCTCTTTCCTAAGTAAAAATGGAAAAAAGCTGTCCTACTGAACCAAAGCAAGCCTTTTCCTGACACTGTGATTGGTTTTGATCCCTGTTTAAACATTCTTCAATGAAACAAACTATTTGGTGTACTTTTACATCTCTTTCTGCTGAAACCTGCTTATTGATCTGTTCTGGGGAGTAATGGCATATGGTCTTTCCTCTGATTCCTGACATGAGGCAGAATTAGCAGAAGTAGGATTAATGTCCAGATGGAGATCACTGACAAGTGGTGTCCCTCAGGGGTCCATACTGGGACCAGTATTGTTTAATATCTTCATCAACGACATAGTGGGATCGAGTGCACCCTCAGCAAGTTTGCCAATGACACCATGCTGTGTGGTGTGGCTGACACACCTGAGCGGCAGGATGCTATCCAGAGGCACCTGGACAAGCTTGAAAAGTGGGCCTGTGTGAACCTCATGAAGTTCAACAAGGCCTAGTGCAAGGTCCTGCACCTGAGTCAGGACAAGCCCCTGTATCAGTAAAGGCTGGAGATGAAAGGATGGAGAGCAGCCCTGAGGAGAGAGTCTTGGGAGTACTGGTGGATGGAAACCTGGACAAGAGCTGGAAGTGCGCACTCACAGCCCAGAAAGCCAACCATATGCTAGTCTGCATCAAAAGGAGAGTGACCAGCAGGTCAAGGAAAGTGATTCTCCCTCTTTACTCCCCTCTTGTGAGAGCTCACCTGCAGTACTCCATCCAGGTCTGAGGCCCCCAGCACAAGAAGGACATGGATCTGCTTGAACAAGTCCAGAGGAGGGCCACAAAGATCATCAGAGGGCTGGAGCACCTCTCCTATGAAGACAGACTGAGAGAGTTGGGCTTATTCAGCCTGGAGAAGAAAAGGCTCCAGGTGAACCTTATAGCAGCCTTTCAGTATTTAAAGATGGCTTATATGAAAGATGGGGAGAAACTGTAATAGGGCCTATTATGATAGGACAAAGGCAATGGTTTTGAACTGAAAGAGAATAGTTTTAGACTAGATATAAGGAAGAATTTTTTTACAATGTGGGTGGTGAAACATTGGATCAGGTGCCCATCACTGAAAACATTCAAGGCCAGGCTAGAAGGGTCTCTGAGCAACCTGTTCTAGCTGAAGATTTCCCTGCTCATTGGGGGGGGTGGACTAGACGACCCTTCCAACCCAAACTATTCTGTGATTGCATGATTCTGTGAAATTTGGCTTCTTTGAAAGGCCTTCTGACCTTCTGCCATGAAAAATCCTTTCAGTGGCTGGAAATTGCTTTCACACATTATGGAAAATTTCTTAATTCAATGAGGTTGAAATAGCCTTTTCCATACTCTCAGATTTCATTCTAGAAAGTGCAAGTGTGGCTACTCTCAAATCGTATTTAGCAGACCAGATACTCGTGCCTGAAATCGTGTATTTGTCTTTTCTTCTAAGCCTCATATTCCTCTTTACATTTTTAGTGGTTATCAGTTACATATTGATATATGTATATAGTATAATACGTATATATTTGTATGTACATATTATACTATAACCTCTGACACATCTTTTGTTTTATGAGAAGGCAGCTCATTCTCATCCAAACTCCAGTCTGACCACTACCAGAACTGTTAAAATCGTTGTCTGTATATGCTCACACATAGCAGTTGCATTATGCTTTTCCAAACCTTCAAAGTCACCTTCCTTCTGTTTTTTTTAAAGATACGCAAAACATACTTATTGTCATCAAGAAAACTACTGATTTACAACAAATTGATTTTAAACAGACATATGTTTGGTATAGTAAGTCAGCATGCAGGAACTTCAATTCTCCTTCTCCCTAAAACGAAACAAAAAAAAAAAACAAAAAAAAACAAACTGGTAAATTCTGTTTTCATTTCAATAATTTTGCAAGCAAATATAGGAAAAAGAAGCCTATCTTTGTCGCTTATTTGCCTCTTCTCCTAGTGCAGTACTGAACAATCCAGAAGCCTTCTGGGAAAGACTTTGACACGTTTATTCACGTGTTTTTCCTTGTCCCTTTTTCCTTCCCTTCCCTCAGCAACAGGGACACAGGAGTTGCTATGAAATACAGAAATAACAATTCTGGTTTCTATATCCTTCAAAAGAAAGGGAAAGAGATGAAAAACATATACCAGGTAGTTTAAAAGCCTAACTTCCTCTGTGTCAAAACTCAAGTAATTTTCCACTTCACTTCGGTATTTTTTTCTATATGACACTATACACATGCTGATGATTTTCACATTTGATGTCAGAGAGTACGGTATGTTTGAGAGATTATAGCCAGCTCATTCTGCCTGGCCCTCTGCTGCTTAACTTCTGAGCTATATATCAGCTTTGAGGTGTCAGCTATCACAAATCAAGTGTCAAAAGTGTACATTTGGGAATAAAAATGAAGACAGAAAAGCAACTTTTCAGGCCGATCATATTGATGGCAAAAGCTATGTCATTCCCAGAGATCCACGAGGTGGACTTGAAATATGTTATTGAATCAATGTGCTACTATAATATATGAATACGGCTCCTACAAACACACCTACATTTCAGATAGCCATTTCTGAATTCTCTGCTGCACTTGCACATTAGCTTCAGTTATTCTCTAGGAAATTTTAAAATCCCGGGGCACAGGTATGTTTACAAAATCATATCACCACCACTTGAGAATGTACTATAAAGCAACACTATAAATTACTGACATTCAGACTTCATATAGACAATTGCTTCCTACAGTTCCCAACACCCAGCTCTTATGCTTGTATATGGACACTGTGTAGATACACTGCAGGCTAAAAGGCAGACCATATAGCCATGGTACTGGCTGTTAAGGTAAGATAAATCCGGTAGGCTGTAAGACCCCAGACCTTTTTCCTCAGGCCATTCCCAAGTCCAGCCAGCAGTCTGGCTAGGCAGGTAGCTCAGAGATGCATATACACTCATCTGGCAGCACAGAGCAATCCAGGGAGAGGGCCTTCAGCAGCGCCTGCATGCCCACAGGTTTACACCAAAAGTATTTATGTAACATGAACAATCCTAATGGCCTGGTTGTGTTTGTACTTTCTGGTTAATCAGGCTCAAAACTTGCTAGCATGCATTCACATGGGGCTCTCTGGCAACTGGTCCAGGTCTATGCTCCTCCAGTATCTACCAGACTCCACTCCTCCACTATCAGGCTCATAGTCTGCTTGCCCAACTCACCAGCTACTTTAGCTGAGCTGCAGTCACAGACATAGACAAATGGGCCCCTCTGGCAGCTGACCCATCTCTCCAATCACTGTCCCCTAAACCTATGGGTCCTTTGGGTCCTTTTGACCCATGGCCTCTACATACAGGTGCTGGCACCCTGGCCTCTCTTCCCAGCCACCAGCTAGTCTGTCATGAAGCAAACTGCTGGCCAGGCAAATCCACATGGGAAAAGAGTTGGGAAGAACAGACCTTAATAGCTAGTTTGTCTACAGTGAGGCAATCAAGTCCAAGCCTTAGCCAGAGAAGCATACTGGTCAGCAGCTTGTTTTAGACATGACCAACCCCTCTTTTCTCCTGTTTCCACTAATTCTTCTCTGATCCACTTCCATCTCTTCCTTTTCCCTGCATTTGGACCCTTTCCTAAATAAGCCATAATAAATTTTGTTCATTCCCACAATCCCCATAAAAGAGCCTTAGAAGTTTTACAAAACTTCTCAAGTCCCCTCAAATTTCGCATTAAAAGTTTGCATCTTCCCATGAGATCTATCATAAACTTGCTTCTCTCTTATAAGTGACAAAGTTCTGGTTGAACCTCTTCAAGGCCATGATTCAGAGGTTCCTCTAGTGGCCCATCAATTAACGCCTTAAGGATCCCTGTATTTGTTACTGTCTTCTTGTCTCCTGTTCCTTAGTGTTTACAGTATCAGAGTGTTTAATTGACTTCTCTTGATTCTTCCTTATGTTTTAAGGTGACTAGCTGTTAGCCAGATATCCTAGCAAACCAGATATCCTTGCATTCCACCCACCCTTATGCTGCTGGTGTGCTCTCCCTGGAGAACAGCATTCTTCTCACAGAACATGAAATTAAATGAAAAGAAATCAAAACAGCAGTCTGGGAAAATGTAACCCAGTCTTTTCCATATGTTTAATTCCAATTGAGAGATAAAATATTCTTGGTCTTCACACCCACTGACAGAAATGTCCAAACACTCTACTTTGCACATAAACACTCTCAGAAACAGAGATTTCAGTGACTGTATTTCATCAGTGAAATGTTCACACTTTCAGAACAAGCTGTGAAGTACTCAATTAAAAAAAATCTGTCCTTCGAGCATTTCTTTTTTCCCACTATTCAAGCAACCTAAACAGCAATTTTATATGGTTTTAAACATGTTCATCTCTAAATACTATTTCCTCAAGGTCTAACTTAGGGCAATTGATGTCATCCACTCTACCGTTTGCCTTATACATGAGCATAAATGTGGTTGCACATTCTGCTTTGAATGTTCAGGCTACCTGTATTACAACTCTGTGCTTAACTTGAAACAAGTTAGCTATAAACTGAATTACTTATAATCTTACAATTAGTCAAAGGGGCATTTTTACCTCTGTTAAACATTTCTTCAGATACTATACAAATGTTATACAAATGCTTTCTCATTCACGACTAGCTTCAAATTATTTTAGATTTTCAGTTTCAGTGGCACTATTTAGGATATGCATACATATGGGAAAGCAAGTGTTAAAAGATTACAGGAATGCATATAACAGACTAAACAGCTAAAAAGGGAAGTATGATCATTGCTTTACCCGAGACACGGATCTTTTAACTGCAGATATATAACCCTATTAGCAGGTGCCTTACTGAGGCAATAGGTAAGATCAACCAAGGCTCTGTGAAGGTAAAATCAGCAGATGCAAGATAAAATGGGAATTCTATAAAGTAATCCATTTACTGTCATTGTGTAAAAACACTATTCTGCAGGAACACACTCTGTGTAAAAGGTCCATCCAAGCCAAACTACTTTTGCAGTAAGAGATCAGACAGTAGTAGGGCCATTAAATTTGCAGTAAAGTATTTTGATGCAGTTGTCATGGCAGTAATGACAATAATGAAAAACATTTTAATGGGATTCTATTTCAAAGAAGTGTTAAAGTGGACAAAAAATCGGACATAACAGGTTATACTCATTAAGATAATTGCCATGCAATTATATGGTAACATTTTCAATGATAAATTATTTTTCTGATGATGATAAGTTAAAATATTAATGTCTAATTCTATCTCTTTATGTATGTAACCACTAGAATTCTGCAGAATATATTACAACAGAAAGATATACACTGTCTCCGGAAGCACTTTTTCAGAGAATATGCCAACAAAAAATGATTATTAAAATATTTTTCTGAAGAAAGAAAATGTACTTGCAAGTATAACCTTTGTCTGGATAGTGACTTAAATCAGATTTATTTATTTTCATTTGCCTTTACAAACTATGATGCTGGTTTTTATAATAAAAAGGGTTTTCTAATATAAACCTCTAAGAGAGGGACATGGTGGGGGGAAGCAAGCTTTTGTTTATTAAATAAAACATTAAAGAGTTAGCTGAGCATTCAAGAATGAAAAATAACTATCACCGTTATGTGGAAGAGCCTGTTGAAAGGTGAGGGAATTCAGGGTGTTCCTTTTCTAGGACACTTAATAATTTTAACGTCCCTTACAATGCTTTTGACTCTGGTCTAGTCAGTAATAAGTAAAAATTGTAATTGCTTGAAAGCCAAAGCTCTCAAAATGTAATCTGTGAGCTGGTTGCCTCTATCCATTTTCCAAGAAATAAAAAATTACATGTTCTGCCATATAACCTGGCAAACTT